TATCTTTCACAGTTTATTACATTTTAAATCTACATTCACTAACTTTAATCATATATATTATACATTCTTAAAAAATAATAAGCTCTACAGTCGTTCTAATTACATACAATTCCACAATTACCAACAATAACTGTATATTTATACTTAAAATTATAAAACAAATATTTTTTTTAAACATTTTTAGACAATTAGTCGTGTTTCCCGTACTATTTGCGGTGTGACTCTTAGCGTTTTCCAGCAAAAGTCGCACCCTAAAAGCCTTAAGCGAACTYCAAAGAGCTTACGAAAGCTTTTTCGCAGCTTTTTTACGTCACGTTTACSGACGGCGTTTCGAAATTTACTGCCGAATTAGTTTTTGCTATAATTCTCGTAATTTTCTGCGCCTAGTATTTTAAATCCAATAAGTCTCTTATACAATTTTTGAATAATGCTAAAGTTTTACTACTTAAAATAGCTAAATAATACACTTAAAAAATTTTAGAGTAACATGTATGTGTTTTATGTGTGTGCGTATTTTTAAGGCAATATTATGAGTTAATGACATTTCAATATTTCAGCTTTTTAATTATGGTGTTATACTAAGCATGATTTAGTCGCTAACGCCGAATGTTGTTAATGTTCGTTTAGCAATCATTAAAATCGAGGTTAGCTGACGTGATAATATTGATGTATTAATGAATCGTGTTCAAATTTCTAAGAAGCGTGAAATTCATATTTTTGTTATTATTATATTACTTGAAAAATATGTAAAAAAAATAACGTTAATCTGAAGTTATATAGTTTTTAATTTCAGTTTTAAATATTCACTTTTACTAGTTTTAAGTTTCTTTTTCTGCTTTAAATATGAATTTTCTCTCTTTTTATAATTTATAGTTTCAGTTATAAAAAAAAATATGAAATAACGTTAATTTGAAATTATAGTTTTCTGTTTTAGCTTTGAATATTAACTTATTAACCTATTTATAGTTTTTAGATTCAGTTCTTCTACTTTATAGTTTTTAGTTTCTGTTTCTGTTTGAGTATGACTTTCTCCACTTTTATAGTTTCTGTTGTAAATATTAATATTTTTTATTTTTGTAGTTTTCGTTTTTCTATAATTTTTTAGTTTCAGTTATATTCAGTTTTTCTACTTTTGATAGTTTTCTGTTTGTGGTTGCAAATTTAGTTTTTCTTTTTTTGTACTTTTTCGTTTCTGTTTCTGTTTTGTTTTCAAACTTTCTCAATTTTTATAGTTTTTGGTTTCTGCTTTGAGTATATAGTTTTTATATCTTTGCTGATTTCAGTTTCTGTTTTAAAAATTAATTTTCTCTATTTTTATAGTTTTCAGTTTCAGTTTCAAAAATTTGATTTTATTTAATTAATGTCATTTAAGATTATTTTTTCTTTTATGTTTTATTATAGCTTTAACCTTTGGTGTATGATATTTGTATTATACTAAATCTTTTAAGTTTTTATTATTATTATTATTTTTTTTTTTTTTTTCATTTCAGTTGACCCTTTACCCAAACAATCTCCGAATAAAAATATTTTAAATTTTTACACCATATTGTTCAAAAAAGCAAAATAAAATTTTTTTGCAGCAAAAACTAAAGAAATAAAATAAGCGTGTGAAACAGTGCAAATGCGAATATTTCAGAAAAGTGCATTAACAATATAGGTACACATACCAAAATTAAAATCTCAGAACAGCTTATAAAGCAAACTGCGAGTAACGATTTCAAATCAAAAATGCCGTAACAACAAGCAAGGGTCATACACAAAAAATACAACAAACACAATTTCGTTAGGGATCTTTTTTTTTTTGTGGAAAAAAATACCACGTACAAAATACATCACAAAAACAATTTTAACGAAACACGAACGTTCATGGAAATTAAATAAATATTTACTATACAGAATTTTAAAATACTATTACTACGAACATTTATACAAACTAAATGCGGGGTGAGGTGGAAAATTATTGAAAATTTGTATTAAATTATATATTTCTAGACCTACAGAAATTATTTTTGAAACATAAAAATAGCATAAAACGAATTGAAAAATTTATTGAAAAACTTGCGTGTTCTTCAAATTTTTTTACGCCTTAAATATTGCCGTAATGAAACAAGGTGACACTACTATTGCGACTACTTAGTCAAATACTAATATTTCAATATTGGTATTAACTTCTTTGTTCAAATAAATTATATCTAATAGTGTCAACTAGTATACATAACAATTCAAAATTAAATTTTTAGTGAGGCTTCAGAGAGAACCCAACAAAAAGCAAAAAACACTGTACGACAGTTTACTGAAACGGTAAATGCCGAGGGAAAGTAAAGTGTGGCTTGTGAGTGAGGTTAAGGTTGAGGACTACTAAAAAAAAAATCGACAATACATACAATATATTAGGGTGGGTAAAAAAAATTAATATTAGAGTAGCAGTCGAAAAAAATATTGTTTGGTTTTTGGCACACCCGAATATATGTATGTATATATTTGTAATTAATTTTTTGAAGGATACAAAGTGATTAATCAACAAGTTGATCAACTGCATTGATTAATCAAATAAATAATTTTAAGGTTTTAAGATTTTTATGAATACTAATTTGATAATAAAATT